AACTCCTATATATACTACATACCACCCTATGTTCTACCACTTATCATTATGAGTTTATAGACCAGGACTATATATCTACTATCAGTCTATAAGGATGCTGCGCACATGATCAGCTCTTCTTCATAGAATTTAAGTATCAAAAGGTGTGTCTGTGTCGTCCTGGTTTGCTGTGCTTTAGTGCTACACAGCCGACAACACAACCACCGAATTTGCCTTGTTGCACGCCCGGTGTCTGGATAGGAACGCCGGTGTACGACTCGCCCTCTTGACCTATTACTTCCGCTTATCTCTTCAAATCACTTATCACAATGTTCGTAGCAGAGCCGTCGGAGTGGCTGTTCCCCAAGCTGAGGCCTAAACGCCAACATATATATATCATACAACATCTAAACGCAAACTATCGCTGGTTCGGTGGTACGTGTCTTTCCTCCTTTTCGTAGGATACATGACTGATTTGTCTTTTGGGGCACTCTTTAGTCAGTTCATTAAAATCTAACAACGCAAGGTGCTCGATTCGCTGGTCGAATCGACTTCTGAAAGTTCTACGTTCGGTACGCACGTTTTCAATCTTTCATTTTGAGTATACCATCGACTGATTCCGCGGGGGCGATCTTCTAGCCGCACTTTTCGTGTGATCATAATGCTCTCCTCATCGTCTCCGCGTCGAAGATACGCTGCATGCTTTCTTCTGGTCATCGCTCTGCTCAGCATTACTGTAACTGCCAGTCCGGTGGCCCAAGACGGTGAGTAAGGAGATGAGATACACGATTTTCCCCTTGGCTGATGAAGATATTCTTCATTCATTTTTCGGGACCAGACGTCGATATTTTCGTGGCGCGTGAGTTGCAAGGTCGAAAAGACTATTTATTAACCAGGGAATTGTACGCGTCCAATCAACGATTCTCTGTCTTCGTCGGAAACATTCAGGGATTTCGTGTCTCTGCTGAACCGGGTCCATTGAAAATCGAACGAATCGAGGTCCCGAGGCTCCCAGCTGGCGGGCCCAACACATCCGTCTTGCAGTTTTTCGGTAAAGCGAGGATCAACACTGCCCCGCAGGAGCTGCAGCAGACTCTGCAAACGTTGGGCGATATTACGCAACTTCAGCTGACATCGGATGGGGCAATCACGGATGATCTGGTCTACGTTGATGCTGTCATGAGGTCTTTGCGGTTGGATAACGAGACATGGGAAGTCCTATACGAGAAACTAAAGAAAATTAGAGAAGGGCACGGTCGATAGATTGTCTGCTATGAGGGAGTACATAGGTCAGACAATTTGTCGTCCGAGTCCATCTTTACAGGGACCATTTGGACTCACATCATAGATCGCAATGCGTCGCGAAATTACACCATCAACTGGGTTGGACAGATCCCCTGGATAGTTAGATGCGATGATATTAAATATGTATGCCAAAGATACCAGATAACCTACCCTTGTGCCACGACATTGAGAGATATCCTGAGGATATGCAGATATGCAGCATTGATGTCACATGCTTGTATCCTCAATATATTCCTCTTTGTTTGTTCCCATCCATGAGTCTCGAACGTCAAGCTGAGGGTTTTTCTCCAGTCAGTGCATATGGAACACAAGGATTACAGCCCGGTCACTTGGCTGCTACACTATCCCCACGTCTACAGCTTCTTTGTCTATGGCCACCACTGCAGATTCGGATGTGTGCAAAAGCGAGGTGAAGGAGGAACTGCAGCTCAAATTAAAAATTTCAATGCCACGCATATCTCCAACGACCTGCGGAGGTGGTCAAAACACTCCCCGGACTTGTGTTTTTGATTGATATCGGAGACCTAACACCCCGTCGGTTGTCATTATCTAGTCACTTTCATCAGAAAACATCTTGGTGTGATCAGAGGGATTTGATCTATAAATCTCAATCAAGCAAAGACTAGTGGCCTGTATAAAGTTCGATCAGACAACAACGTATTGTCCCTTACGCTGCTGGTCAGTCCATCCCCATCTAGTAAAAACTTGAGTTTCGCCTGCTCATTCCTTCTCTTTACTATCGTCTTAGACTCACAATCAACTCCACATTGGCAGTCAACATGCGCCTACTTTTTGCTTGTCTTGCTCTACTGGGCCTCGCACCTTTCATGCATGCTATGCCCGCTGGTGTGGGTACTATCATGATCTGTTTGGAATGAGTGCTAATTGCGTATATTTAGCCCAATTCTGGCGCACTGACGAGGGTTCACGGACCTCCTTCTAATCTGAAGGTTAATTCCCAAGGCAGCGTCCCTGTGACGGTGACGGTGAAATTTCCCCCACCATTTGACGGGGAAAGATTTGCTTCCCCTGCGAGCAGTATCGAGTCGGAAAGGGTTAGGAACAGGATGGACAGACTAATCGCCATACTTAAGGGGCTGTATCGGGATCACGGAGAGCTGGATCAGGGAGTACACTTCCAATATGTGAACGAGTTTCGCCAACCTCAGGACCCTTCTCTTTCCAAATTTTTCAAAGTCGTCATTTCAGGACCCTTCTATCCTTGCCCCGATATTTCTCCCTGTCATTTCCAAGTTCCTTACGACACGCGCAAACTTCCGAAGATGGTCACCGCCTAAGAATATGAGGAGGGATATTGAATGGAGCTAGGCATACTCAGTACTTAGTAATTGACTAATTGTGTTTGAAGAAAGGAATTTAACGCTACTAAGTATTGAGCCAGGATGTGGTGAAATTTATGCTTACTTATCCGAGCTGTTCTAAACGACCTTCCAAAAATTTGTGGGAAATATTGCTAACCCCTGCAAATCGGTCCGGACTCTTCCGACTTTTCTGGTTTCCATCTACAGTGAAGAATGAGCGGGAGTCTCATCTCTGCTGTCTCCTGGGTAAAACGTGGTGTCGCTCTTCAAAATCCCTCTCAATACGTCTTGGATGACCATGAACTGGAGCGCGTCAGTGCGTTGGCAAGGATTGAGCTGGAGGATGCTCAAGTAGAGCTTAAAAGAGCACACGAAGCTGCGAAGAGTATGGGAAAGAGTGATTTGGATGAGGAGGATGTGGAAAGTGATCTTGAAGTTGAAGTGATTGAAGGCGATAAGAATGGAGACGAGGATGATTGGGTTGAGTGAGTAATTTGGTTACATCGTGAATGAACTTGATTTTGATGAGTTCGCTGTGCAGTGAAGACGAGAATGCAATGGATGTGGACAGCGATGCTCCCGCAAAAAAAACGACAACTACAAAAGTGACAACAAAAGACGATGATCTCTCTAAATATAACTTGGACGACTATGATAATGACACCCCGGGAGATAGTAAGTATTCCGTGTTAATCTCATCGAATTCGGCTTCAATGCTGTCAATCCACAGATATAAGTCATTTCAGTAATATCAATAATATTGCACTTTACAAAAACAACGACGAAGATCCTTATATTACACTAAAGGTAAATTAAACGACTTCTCCGTCTATGCTCTTTTCTAATTTTCTTGAACTTCCTCCAGGATGATGAAGATCAAGGCGAAATGGAGCGCGCGGAGCTCGAAGTTCTACCTTCCGATAATCTTCTCGTCGTTGCAAAAACCGAAGACGAAATTTCGCAACTCGAAATCTACGTCTATGAGGAATCTGAAGCCAATCTATACGTCCACCATGATCTTATGTTACCAAATTTCCCTCTATGCCTCGAATGGCTTGACTTTCCACCCACTTCCTCCTCATCGAGTATGAACAACGATCCTACAAATTCCGGCTTTGGTAACTACATCGCTGTTGGTACACTCGACCCCGAAATCGAAATATGGTCTCTCGATATTGTGGAAGCGATGTACCCGAACAGCGTCCTGGGTCGACCAGACAAAACAAAAGCCCACATCCCACTCCCACTCGGCACAGGCAAGAAAAAGAAGAAAAAGACGAAATCGAGACAGGTTGAAAAAGCGTACCACGTCGATGCGGTGTTGGCGCTGAGCTGGAATAAGAAACAGAGGAATTTACTTGCGAGTGCGAGTGCGGATAAGACGGTGAAGCTGTGGGATTTGAGCAGGGATCCGACGATTAGTGGAGGAGAGGGTGGTGCGTTACGGAGTTTTGATGTTCATAAAGATAAGGTGCAGGGTGTACAGTGGAATGAGATGGATCCAGCGGTGTTGTTGACTGGAAGCTATGATCGAACTGTAAGGACGTTTGATTCGAGAGCACCAGAAGGAGGTGTCGGTGCGTTTTTGGGAAGTGATGTCGAAGCACTGAGGTGGGATCCATGGAATGAGAGTGGGTTTTATGTATGTGTTGGTTCCTGCCCGTCTCAAGGACCTCATACTGACCAAATTCTCCAAGGTCTCACTCGAAAACGGACTTGTCCTCAACTTTGACGCTCGTACACTCTCTTCGAGCTCGAATCTCAGTCAACCTTCGCCATCGCGGTTCACGCTCCAAGCACACGACGGTGCTGCTTCTGCTCTGGATGTCAACCCACATATCAAAGGCTGCATCGTCACAGGTGGAAGCGACAAGCTAGTCAAAGTGTGGAACATTGAAGAAAGTGAGAACAGCAAAGGCGGGAAGAATAATATTAATGTCAGTTTGGTACAATCGAGAGATTTGGGTGTGGTATGTATTCTTTCTGATCTGATTTTCTAAATGCTTCACTCGATCACCCACTCATTTACTCACTTCCTTCACAGGGCAAAGTCTTTTCCACCTCCTTCTCTCCTGACTCACCCCTCACGGTCGCTGCCGGAGGTTCAAAAGCAAAATTGCAAATATGGGACGTTGCATCGAATGCGGCTGCCAGGAAGGCTCTTGGTGGGAAGTTGAGAGAAGCTGGGAAGGTGTTGAGTGAAAGGAATACCGGAGAGGGAGGTGTTGTTGGGCTGGTTAGTGATGGAGAGGAGAGCGATGATGATGATGGTGGGGATGAGTGACGAGGGACACAGTCAGTAGGTAGGAATAGTCTACAACCGTTTCCAATCCAATGCTTAATCGGATGCAGCTTAAAAAAAAAAATTTCGAGGGTAAACAAAAAAAAAACTAATGGACAAGTCCGGATTTGAACCGGAGACCTTTCGCAAGCAAGATACGCATGCAAAGCGAACGCGATAACCCCTACGCTACATGCCCATGAGAAAGTGATCTTTGTATGTATATCTGTACTGCCAATCTTTACCTCGTTGGATTATACTTATCTCTCGATAGTCTTGTAGATGGAACATAACAAACTCATCAATACAAAAACCATTTCTCCAGTCATAGACTGGGCTATCATTGAGTGGTGGTGAAGGCGGCAGGTATGTAACAAGTGGCATCTTTGGTCCCTCAATTTGAGTACCAGAAATGTGTGGGATACCCAATGAAGATATTGAGAATTTGAGTAAAGCAATCAATGAATCAAAGCTTAGCCTGAGCAGGGCCCCTGATAATAGGGTGTGATGACTGATCTGTGTTCGCACAATTTTGACCCCCAAAATGGGTGCCGACCCAGATTTTGGTTCGCACAATGATGGCCGCTGCAGGCGGAGCCTCAGCGCAGTTCGCACAACTTTTTGACAGATTTTGTACCTATTTAGGCTATTATGGGGCAGTACGACAGGAGGAATAGGGGACGCAAGGCATAGCCTAGGCAGTAGATTTAGGTAGCTTTCTGTACTTTTGAGCAAGTTTTATGTATATTATTTATGCAAATTTCACCTATTTTCTTGCGCACATCTACCAACTTTGACTGGATGGCTTTGATGAACTCCGAAATTGAGATTGAAGTTGAAGAAACAACAGAATTTGACCCTTCTGTATGGATTGGTACTGGAAAAAACTACACCGAAGTCCCACTGCATGTAAACTATGCATGCGCCTGTGTCCTCGAACTTCCTGAGCAAGTTCTTGAACGTCTCCCTGTCCCCGAAGTCCCTATTCCTGAATTCATTAGGACAAAACTGCCTATTCAATCTTGATCCTTATGCACATATGCATCATCTGCGTGGTTCAGTAATAAGCAACCCACAATCCCCATGTCAATTTGCATCGACCAAGTTCTACGACGTCCCATTCCGTCTCCAGACACCCTTGACATGCTGGCTGAGAACTTTGGTCAGGGCTGGTTGGATGGCATGAATTCAGTCAGAGATCCACGATACCGAGGAGAAGATTTTATGCCATTGTGGGTGGTGGGCTTGTGGAAGAGGTTGCAACACTTGGCAAAGATTCAGGAGGACTACAAGGAGGCTTGGACTACAGTCCGTGATGTGATACGGGAGCCTACCATAGCCAGTTAGTTTTCCTCACCAGCAACATTCTTTGGTCAGCGAGGTTGGGATACACCTGTCACAATTGCAGATTTTACTTTCGCAACTAGCTCGTTCACCAAGCTATTACGCCCAGTTATGATCAACGATGATATCACACAGTCGATGACTCAAACCATATGTAGTCGGCTTGCTATGGATGTAGAGCAAAAGAAAAACCATTATCTCGCAGCATCTCGATTTGGTTTGGTACTGCAGGTAGCGACGACGAAGAAGAGGTTTCAAGATAACAACCTACCTACAGCACTACGTGATATCGAGACTGAAGTCGATGCCAATCCCTGCCTGAAAGTCTGGTTTCCAGTATTACTTCAGATGCACGAGGTTGCATTTTGTGTGGATTTTGGGCAAAGCACTATTGCTTATGGTATGTCAATAACTTCGTCTTGTCTTGCAAAGAGATGCTCACCTTCTGAACACAGGTGATAGCCTAAGCACTATGCCGCCTCCAACTGCTGTGGTCGCTTATATAGAAAAGTGGCTGAAGGCTCGTTTTCATCGCACATTCAAGAATACTGGGAACTCGTTAGCTCATGCCTGGCAGAAAGATAGTATATCCTGCATACCTGTGACAATGAATACAATTCTCCATGGCATCTTCGGAGATCCTCTCTGGACTCATGAAAATCGTTATCTGGATTGTTTGAAGTGGTTCTCTGAGCTCGTCCCAGATCAGCAGGTAAGAATATCTGTAAGAACACTGAACTTTACCTGAACAAATGAATATTCTTAGGATAAAAACAGCAAGATTCGACCAGTCGTGATGCCGTCTCTTGCCAATTTGCTGAATCCAGTTGAAGCAGAAGCACTGGAGGATATATTCCAAGGGGCTGTTGATGACTTGTTAGGTGGCTCTGCATCGGAGCCTACCTGTGACCATCCTTCCAACCATAACTCGCATGAGATACACAAAGATAACATCAACACAACTGGAACAATTCATTCCTCTCCAACAGAAAAACCTGTTAACATTGTTGAGCCCTCTCAGCCACCCAAAAAAGGTCTTAATCATGCTTGGTCCGCGATGTTCCATAAAAAACCCATACCAGATTCAAAGAAACGATCTGCCTCCCCGCATTCCGAGAACGAATCCTCTCAAATCAAAAAGGCAAAGACGTCAGAGCAGTCATCTAACGTGGGGTTCAGTAAAGCGAACCGGTCTGCACAGAAGTCGCGTGAAAATGCTGCTGCTGGCAGTTTCGATCCTGTCAAACGTGAGCAATGGATGCAGAAGATATGGACCACAGTCGATCCTAGAGCCGAATTCTTTCCTGATGATCTGAGGGCCATTCGTTGCAGTAGATGTGGTCGTAAACAGATAATGCCTACACTTGGGAATGTCCACAGGTTCAAGGAACATCGAAGACGATGCGAGAAGAATGGATACAATAAGATGAAGGCAGGGGCAGCTGTCTCGAATACGTCCACATTGTTATCGGAATCAGTGCGGTCGAAATGGAATGTGCTCGTTAACCATCTCATGCCACGCCGGAGTGTGAAAATGCGTTGTGCTTGACCTTGCAGTGGTCTCATGGCCGATGATGATTCCCGTGTTCCTCACTATCTTCGCCGGACTGCTGCCTCTGGTGGTGGTTCACGCTCTGTAACAAAGATTGCTTTTGATCTATTTGGAAAGTGTTTCTGTGATTTGAGCTCAGCACAAAAAAGAGAAGTAGAGACTCAACAAACACAAGAATTCCGTTGGCAAAACAATCATTGAAATCTATGTGTTTTCTCAATGAAATGTAGACAAATCTCTCCTAGCACCAATCCAGATGACCGTATTCTTCCCTGTGCTGAGTGCTTGTCTCTTTTGCAACTACAAGAGTTCAAATCCAGTCTGCGTGTCCCCATGCCATTGGATAAGAACTATCGGCACGTCAACAAGCAATGGCAGAACCCAATACTTGGTGAACAGTTTCTGAAAACTGCTGGACTCAAAGAACTCTTTGACTCAGTCGTAAGTCTCTCCTTCTCTACCACCAATAGTGCTAATTGAGGAGTCGATCAATTTCCTAGGCAGCAAATAGCTCCAGTTCAATCTTCGTTAACTTTGCAAAAGGTGCAGTCTCAGGAAAATATAAAGATAATGAGGTCTTTCTTGGACTCCTCAAAGCAATGATGCAAAAGATAGATAGAGATGAACAAGGCGTTGGGATGCAAAACTTTCGATATGCACTGGAATGGGATGAGTTTGTGCACATCATGCGCATCCATAGTCCTCGAGCTCATCGTCTTCTGGCAAAACATTTTCCAGCCTGGACTGACCGTAACATCAGGTATGCCTTCCTCAAGCTGCAGGGGCTGCATATGCTTACTCGCTAAATTTCTCAGACTCCGTTTATCGAAGCAGCCAAAACTTCCCATGACACTCAGTGACCCCTGCATTGTTACTTTCGTGAAAGATCATTTGAAGTCCTTGCATTATACGGGCCCAGTTGGTCTGAGCTGTGATGATACAAAAGCTTTGAGTGCTCTTCGATTACATTGGGATGGGGTGAAGAAAGTGCACTTCTTAGTGGGAGCGACCAGTGAACCAATCCCAGTTCCAGATCCTGAAACTGTTTTGAAGTACATGAAGGATCCAAACATTTCAAAAGGAATGAAGGTACGTTCAGTATGAATCATCACAAGAACTATGGAGTCTGACTCACAGATCAGGTTCATCTTTGGATGTTACAAGCTCCCCTTCCCAAAGTACCACCAATCATCGTTGCTGCCATCCCAATCAGCGACAGGTTGACCATCTCACAAACTCTTGAATTTCACAAAACAGTGATTTTTGGTCTGTTGGATGCAGACATCGATGTCATCTCTTACGCTTGTGATGGGACTGAAACCGAACGGTCTCTACAGAGAGCATTCACACAGTTAGCAGAAACATCCATCAATGTCATAGTCCCATTGCCCCGCGATGGTCTCACTGAGCTCCAAATCCGCATCCCAGTATTTCGTGGCCATCCAATCTCAATGGTGCAAGACTCGAAGCATGCACTGAAGACATTCCGAAATAACCTATTCTCTGGAGCACGGCTTCTGGTCATGGGCAACTATGCTGCATTTTTCCAACAGATCCACAATATAGCATTCGAAGAAAGTTCGCCACTGTATCACCGTGATGTAGAAAAGCTCGATCGACAGGATGATAACGCAGCTTCACGACTCTTTTCTGCTGCAACTCTCCAGTTCATCTCCAAAAAGCATCCAGACCAAATTGGTGTGATTGTCTACCTCTTTGTCTTTGGTGAACTTTGTGATGCGTACCAAAACCGGAACCTTAACCACTCTGAACGAATCAATATACTCTTTCGTTCTCGGTATTTCATTGATATGTTACAGCAGTTCATCGACAAAATTCCCTGCTACAAACCACATCAGCATTTCATATCCCGAGAAGCAGTCAACATCATCTCTTTCCTCATCAATGGGCTCATCTCCCTTATCATCATACATCGTGACCATCATCCACATATCCCACTTCTGCCTTGGTTGCACTCGAGTGAAGCTTGTGAACATGTATTCGGACTTGCGCGTCAGATCATCAAAGACTTCACGATGCTCGACTTCTATCAGATGGTGCTGAAACTCCTTGTTTGTGTACGAGAAGCTGCTTTCGACTCCAACTTATCTCAACATAATGAGGAAATGAAGGCTCGTGCATCCGGATATCATCATACTTACTTGGACATGCATGAATTGGACCTCATGTCTCTCAGCCGGTTTCCTTCTGAGGCAGAAATCTGTCAGATAGCTCAACGCGCTGCAGACGAAGCTGATAGTCTCATTGCCCTCCTTGGAATATATCCAAACACACTGCATTCC